GGCCCGGGGCCTGGTCCCTCCGGGGCGGGCGTGCCTGGTCGCAGCTTAACCCTGATCTTTCCCCTGATCCTCTGAGCAGGGACGGGGCACAGAACTTTCCACATCAGAAAAGGTATCTTCACATCAAAGGAAAGTTCTCATCTCCAGGCTTCGTGTAAAGAAGCCAGAAGAAACTGTACCTGCCTCCTCCCCGGCAACCTGGGCGAGACCACCCGGCGGCCCTTGGAGGCCCGAGGCGCAGGGACAGGGACACCGGGCCTCACCCTCGGTCGGGCCCTGCGGGGGTGGGGGTGGGGGACCACCAGGGAGGCCGACCAGCGCTGTTTCTCTGCAGCGTGTTTGGCACAAGCTTTGACACAGAGGGTGTTGAATACATAGGCGGCAACAGCAGGTTAAACTGCCAGCCGCCATCTCCTTCAAGGTAAATCCTAAGTAAGGGTACGAGGTGATGCTAACAAGACAACTCAGCCCAGCCGGTGCGGCTCAGTGGATAGAGCATCAGCCTGCGAACTGAAGGGTCCCAGGTTTGATTCCCGGTCAGGGCACAGGCCCGGGTTGTGGGCTCGATCCCCAGTGTGGGGCGTACAGGAGGCAGCTGATCCATGATTCTCTCTCATCACTGATGTTTCTCTCTCTCTCTCTCTCTCTCCCCCTCCCTCTCCAAAAGCAGTTTAAAAAGTTTTTAAAGAAAAGAACATAGCCAGCGTCAGGTGTGCAGGCTGCCTTGATCCCACGGCCCGCTCCCGCCTGCTCTGTGTGTCCTCCGCGTCTGCTACTGACTCCTCTCACCTCCGAACCTCTGTCCCCCTCAGGCCACGGCTGCTGCGGTGAAGGCAGGTGCCCTGGCTTGGCTGCTGGGTCGTCTTTTATTTTTAAAAATGTTTTTATTGGGGATGGAGCCCGCAACCTGGGCATGTGCCCTGACCGGGAATCAAACCGTGTCCTCCTGATTCAGAGGTCGTCACTCAGTCACTGAGCCACACCAGCTGGGCTGGCCTTTAGGTTCTAACCCGGGAGGCTCCCAGGCAAGAGGGCAGTGCCATCGAGGCCCATGTTTTGGTAAAAGTGCCAAGAATGGCCAAAACCGGTTTGGCTCAGTGGATAGAGCGTCGGCTTGCGGACTGAAGGGTCCCAGGTTCGATTCCGGTCAAGGGCATGTACCTGGGTCGCGGGCACATCCCCAGTGGGGAGTGTGCAGGAGGCAGCTGATCGATGTTTCTCTCTCATCAATGTTTCTAACTCTCTATCTCTCTCCCTTCCTCTCTGTAAAAAATCAATAAAATATATTTTTTTAAAAAAGTGCCAAGAATGACACGGCCACCATGGAAGGTGACGCAAGGGGACAGGGAAGGAGCGGGTCAGGCTGGGCCTTCCCGGACGGGGACGCGCTTCCTCAGACAGGGGCAGCCCCGAGCTCTGTGGGAGGTGAGCCGTCCTCCCCTCCTCCAGAGTCCAGGACGGGGTCCTGATGCCCTGGGACCTGCCCTCCAGGCCGTCCTTGGGGTGCCCTCTGGAAGACACCTTCCAGGCCCCGCGTGGGGCTGGGTGCGAGGGCCAGGAAGGATCTGACCCCGTTGGCCGGCCCGGCGACAGGTGGGCTGAAAGACGAGCCCGTGAACTCGATCTGTGCGCGGGGTGGCCAGCGGCTCGGTTTCAGCTCTCACGGGGCGAGCATGACCGCGCGGCTTTATATAGCTCCGCGGGCCCATAAAAGCAGGAGCCCTTGCGGAGGGAGCATCGAGCATCGTCGCTGTC